GCTGAGCTAAATCCCCAGCCCCTCCTTAAGGGTTTGTGTTGAGAAGTCTGCCTCATTCTGATGGGCTTTCCTTTATAGGTGATTTATTTCTTTTCTCTAATAGCTTTTAATACTTCATATTCTGTTCTTGTGCTGAATTTCTGGAATCTTGATTATCACATGACTTGCTGTAGATTTATTTTGGTCATGGTTCACTGGAGTTCTATGTGCCTCACTTATTTGTACATGAAATTATTTTTTTCATGTTTATGAAGTTTTCTGCCTCTACTTCTGTGAACAGGTTTTTTATGGCATTCACACTCTCTCAGGCTTTTCCATTAACTCCAATCAATCTTATGTTGTTGTTCTTTGTATTATCTTACAGCTGGTAGGTTGATTTTTCATGGTCCTTTATTATTTTTAAGATATCTTCCTTTTCATGGTCACTAACTGCAATCTTATCTTCTGGATCTGATATTCTCTCTATTCTCTCCTCATCTTCATTCAAGTAGTTACACATATATTCAGTGCAATGTTTAATTTCTTGGCTGTTTGAATCTGTTTCATGGACTACTTTTCTTTCCTATATTAGCCATTCATAGTTTCCATCATTTTCCTAAGCTCCTATGCTTTTATTTGTGTCTACTCTAGATTCATTGAGCAAGTCCTTCATTTTGATCATTATTTCTTTTTTTACCTAGAGATTATTTTCTCTATGGCTCATTCATCTGTTTTCTTTTTTTGTTTTGTTTTGTTTTACCTCTGCTGCTATCATTTCAGAAAATTCATGTGGGTGGCTTCCAATTTCCTTTACCTCATTGTCCCCTAGACTTGTCCTAGGTGGATTGGAAGTCTGGGGTTGCATTTCACTTCTGCATCTTGTCATTTTCTAACTTTTTATTTTGTTTTCTGTGTTGATGCTTCTAAATTTTGTATAGTAGGTAGCTTTATCACTATTGAAACCTTCCTAAGAAATGTCTCTTCTTCAGGGATGTCTTCTAGGTATAGGAAGTTTTTGGTTTTTGTGTCTGTCCCAAGATCCTACCTTCCCAATTTATTAAGGATGAGAAGTTGCTATCTATTTGGCTCAGCACCCAGTCCTTTGGTATTGGACTATGGTGATGGCTATTACCCCAATCATAGTGTTGTCATACAAGGGAAAACAATTGATTACAACAGGTATGACATCCTGGTTAAAGTAGTACAATTAGCAATAACAATAGCATCATGCACAGCCTAGCAACTGACAAACTATGGTAAGTATTAATTTGGTACCTTTAACCAAAGGGCAAGATCAAAAGTTATGAAACAAAATCCAACATAATTCAGCAACTTGTATGCAAAGCGTTTCCCTTTAGTAGAGTGATTTTACCCTGTGGTGGGGAAATTTAAGAGGAATAGGGGACAAAACAGATAAATGAAAAAAATATAGTAGAAGCAAGGCTGAAATACAAAGGATGATCACACAAACTTTGGGAAACTAGACAAGAGAGAAGGAGAGAAGGAATGAAGGAGAAATAAAAAAGATTATCAAAGTGGACCAAAAAGACTGGAAACAATGTTCACTTACATAAGAATATGATAAAATCAAGAGAGATAATTGAGGAGAGAAAAAGAAGATAAACAGAACAAAAATAAAAGTAAAAACCTAAACCACCAAAAAAAAGTAGACAGAAAAAGGAAAATGAAACAAAGAAAAAAACAAAAATAAGCCAGATGTGTTGGCACATGCCTGTAATACCAGCACTTAGGAAGCTGAGGAAGGAGGACTGCTATGAGTTTGAGGCCACCGTGGGCTACATAGTGAGCTCAAGGCCAGCCTGAATTACACAGTGAGACCTTGTCTCAAAAATAATAATAATAATAATAATTAATAATTAATAATAATATTCCTCTGGTGTACACAGTTCTGTGGTAGTATCCAAGTCAGAAGCCCAAATCTTCTGAATAACCCCACCATACCTGTAGCAGGATTAGTGCTAGTTGAGGGGCTGATCTTGGCCTCCATGTGGAAGGCTGCTGCCAGAGGCTTCAGCCATTAACTTTCTGTATGTCTCTTTGTTGCCCACTCATTCCTTACCCTGTTTGTCTCTGTGTCTCTCCCTCAGTTGCTGTGGTACCTACAGAGAGAGCCCAAGGCTGCTCTCAGTCTTCTGTAGGGTTGGCTCCTCCTAGACCTGGCATAGCCTTCTCTATCCCACTTCCACTGGCATGTCTCTGTTCTTTCATGCCACTTGTTGCAGGGTAGCGTGGGATGAGATGATGTGGGCTGATTCTCTCCTCCTGCTGCTGTTGTTCAAGGCTGCTTCATCCCAGTTCAATCTCTTCTGGGATGCAATGCAATGCAAACCTCCCTCTCGTTGCTGTGCCACGGTACAAGGCTGCTTAAATCCTGTGTCCCTCTCTCAAGCCACTGGTCATGGGTCAAGAAGGGTCATGCCGCTCCATTCACTACCTTAACTGCCACTGCCGCTGTGGTTCCTAGAGGGGGACATCCCTAGAGGTTCCAGTTAGCCATTCAGGTGCACAACAAAAAATGACAAACACCTGGCAGCTCACTGGGGAGGGAGCAGCTCACTTCCTCTTGTGTGTGCCAGTTAAATTTAATAGGTTGCAGCATCCTCTATTTGGAAGGTAAAAAAGCAAAGGGGGGGTGCTTATATCCCAAGTCTATCCTGTGTGGCTTAACTTGGCTGTACTATTTCAGTCTTGCATTTTTTTTTAACTTCACAGTATGGTGGTTCTGCTCTGCCTGCAGGTGGGCAACCCACCAGCAGCCCTGTGGCCTGAGTCACTATTTTATTAAGTCCTATGTCTATGTTTTGCTGTTCCTATGTTTTGATCTACAAATCTCAAGTTAATTTTGTCATCAGGATATAAGTCCCTTCCTTTCCTCCAGTTACCTGTGTCTTTAGCTGATTTTTCTCTGAGCAGTCCCAACATGGCTCCTTCTCTGTTCAGCCATGTTAAATCTCTTATTTCCTAATATACATATTGACATAACTTATAAATGCTGAAACTCCATTCCACAAAATTTTTCTATTCATTATTTTTCTTTACCTTCACTTCAAATATAGCAAAGATGAAATATAAAATGATTTGAGTTTTAAGCAACAGCAGAACCTTCAAAGAAGACTGAATGGAAGTATAGAGCCTACATATGAGGGGAAAAACAGTGAATACCAAAACTAATAAAAAATTGATCCATGAAGTTGATGGGATATTGGAGTTGACAAAAAATATAAAAACTAAGTTTTATATTTCATCTTTGCTATATTTATTTCAAGTTTTGTTGTTTTTCTGTGGGGTTTTTCTTTTTGTTTTGTTTTGAGACAGAGTCTTACCATGCAGTTCAGGCTGGCTTTGAGCTCATTTTGTAGCCCAGCCTGTTCTCAAACTTGCAACAATCCTCCTGCCTCAGCCTCCCAAGTGTTGGGATTATAGGCATGCACCACCACACCCAGCTTATTTTTTTTTTTATTTTAAAGAGCAAAAACAATCAAAACAAAAATACAGAGTTTCAAAACAAAATAATAGATTAACAATGGTTAATATATTGCATATTGTTATCTTCAAAGTAGTTGCTCAGATT